TTGAATAGAAAATAAATGGGTGAATCACCATTTTTTTGAAGATGTAATTAAAATACCATTTTGTTGGAGATTCATTAAAACATGTCCTAAAGTTATTATACTCTGGGGAAAGGTGATTAAATCTATTAATTTAACTCTAAGGTATGATTTAATATTTTTGGACATCCCTATTCTTTTGAATCACCTACCGATTACGTGGAAATTGATGGTGGGACAACAGAACGGATCCTCTGTGCGGCTCTCCTTGCCAGAGAGGAGTCCCTGAATGGGGGAAAGATGAATGCCTGGCTCCCATCACTCGGTGGGTGGAAGCCTTGATGCAAGTTACACCCGGAGGGTCCCAATGAAATATGCTCATCTTTCCTTGAAACCGTTGCATAAAACTTCCCAAGTCCATGCCTATCTGTCAGAAGTCTTTTGCTTTCTTTTTCTCTTGTTGATGTCATTTTATTTTTTTCCCTCTGTGTTGTTTTATTAAGTAAACTAAGTAAAAAATTAGGAAGCCCTGGGTCCATCTTTTGGCAGACCGTTTCGAATCTCCATAGCTTAACGTTGGGTGCAAGTGTTCTGCTCTGTTCCGGCATCGTCCTTGGCTCTCCCTGCAGGCCTTCCCCCGGGCCGAGCACCATCGTTTCTTCTGGTCCATTCAAAGAAAGCGGTGGGGGAGCCTGCGAAATCCTTGGGACCCACTGCAGAGGAAATCACAGGGATCGGTGACAACAGAGATGCTAGGATACAAGCTAAGGGGAAGCGATTTTGATTTATTTAACCAAGTTAAAATAGACACTTTTTAATATTTAAAAGGAACACATTGGTTGAATAAAGAGGGTAAAATCTGCAATATTTGGGGTTGGATCACGATGGCAAGAAGGCATGGAGGCAATTCCACCCTCCGATGCCATGTTCAGCCCGGAGGTTTCCTTGTCTTTCAGAGCAGCCTCTGCAGCTTCAGATGCTCTTCTCAGAACAGGTCGAGGGGTGATGCCACCCTCTCCCCCCTCTCTGGTCTTGGGAGGCAGGTGGGCACCTCAGTTTAGGCCCCAGTGCACGTGGAGACCCTGCAAGGCTGAGCCCGCTTCAGTTGCTGGAGACGGTGGGCTCCCAATCCGGGTGCAGGTGTGACCTAGGCCTGGAAGGCAGCCCCTTTGGGGTGGAGGCTGCATCTGCAGGAGATTAGAGCAGGAGGAGGAGGAGGACCTGCGAGGGCCGCTGAAGGGTCTGTTTCCAAGAAGCCAAAGCCGGCCTGGATGGACCGGGACACAGCAGTGAGCATGCAATCTGGTTTCATTTAAAGCCGGTTCTAAGCTGGGGCCGCTGGGATCAATGGGAGCCTTTGTCTTGCATGATCCAGAGTTATTTGCCCCTAAGAAACAATTAACTACCCATCTCTCTGCCCACCTGTCTGTCACCCGAGGGGGTGGGGTGGGGGCATCACTAAGCAGCCCTGCACCCAATGAGGCCCGGGCCCTAGATAGCTGTGGGTGTATGTATAGGAAGCCACAGGCCAATTAAGAAGACATCCTCTTTCTGTTTTCTTGCATCAAAGAGGGCTAAATGAAAGTGAGACGGCCTCAGGGTAGGTGGGGCAGAAGCCACCTGGGCAGGGTTTTTAAGAGGAACGGGGAGGCCTCATGAATGGCATAGCATAGGGAGTGACGGGGGCTTTGTAAGGAGGCCAGCGAGTGCCTCAAGCATGCGGCCCTGGAAGCCACTGAAGTCTCCGTGCTGGTGGGCCATGGACAGAGCGGAGCTGCATTTGCACAACGAAAGCTCCAGAAGGAGCATTTCACCCATCAGAATAGAGCTGGAAGGGATCTTGGAGGTCTTCCAACCCCCTGCTCAAGCTGGAGACCCTAGACCAGTGGTGGCCAACCTTTTACTCACCGAGTGCTGAACAGGTACGCACTTTGCGTGCACCCGTGATATCCACGCTAACATGCGGCTCCTCCCCCCGTGTGCTGTGCACACAACCGCACCATCTGTGCATGTGCAAGGCTTTCACACACACCTCTGTGCACTGCGTGTGCAATCACACCATCTGTGCACGTGCAGTTTTTGTGCAGGGCACACACGCGAACACCATCTATGCATGTCCATGCTGCGCAGTACTCTCATGTGCAAATGCACATGCATGCACAGGAGAGCTCCGATGATCAGCTGGCTCTCTTGAACTGCACACATGCGCATCGAGGGCCCAAATACCAGCTGGGGGGCAACACGCATGCGCAGCTGCAGGTAAGTTGGGCAACAGCTCACGTGCCCAGAAAGATGTCTCTGCATGCCACCTTGGTCACGCGTGCCATAGGTTCGCCATCACGGCCCTATGCCATTTCAGACGAGTGACTGTCCAGTCTCTTCTTAGAAACCTCCCGTGTTGGAGCATCCACAACTTCTGAAGGCAACTTCTGTTCCACTGGTTAATTGTTCCACCATTAGGAAGTTTTTTAATTCCAGGTTTCTTCTCTCCTTGATTAGTTTCCATCCATCGTTTCCTGTCCTGCCCTCTGATGCTTTGGAGAATGAACTGACCCCCTCCTCTTTATGGCAACCCGTCAAATATTGGAATACTGCTATCAGTCCTTTTTTTTCTCTCGATTGGCCAAACCCAAATCCCGCAACAGTTCATGTCTTTTAATCTCCAGGCTTTTAATCGTCTTAGTTGCTCTTCTCTGCACTTTTTCAAGAGTCTCAACGTCTTTTTTGTAATGTGGTAACCAAAACTGGAGATGGCCTTACTAAGGCTTTGTAAAGCGGTACTAATACTTCACGTGATCTTGATTCTGTGCCTCTGTTTATACGACCAAGGATTGTATTCGCTTTTTTGCCAGTGTACTTGAAAAGATGGGTCTCCTCAGATGCCACCCCTCAAGTTCTCCGCAATCTTCAAGCATCTTCCTGGGTATCGAACAGCTGACTGAGCCGGGGAATAAGCCATCCTCCAGCAACAGCAGTTCCATGCCTTTTCCCTGCAGCAGGTGCGCCCACCAAGTCTTCCCTGGTTTTCTGAGGGTCACACCTAAGCGCACCCCAACCCAGCTCAGTCTTTCCCGCCTCCCCCTTTCCTGCAGTTGCCAAGGCTTGATGCTGAACTGTCAGTCCACCAGGGGGCGCCAGGTACGCCTTTCCAAAAGGCAGCCCTTTTATTTTCGTGATTCCAGGCAAACAGCTCTGAGAACCATTTGTCTTCCTCCTGCTTTTGAAAGCTTCAAGCAAAACAGCACCGGACTCCCCACACGATCCAATGCGCTCTTCGGGTTTCAAAAGGGCCTGCAGAGCTGTCTACCCAGATCGCCAAGTTGGGGGCAGGGGGGCACTTCACCGCTTCAGAGCCCACGGTGGGCTTTCCGCGTGGAGAGAGGCCGCATCACGAAATCTGGAAGAATTAAGAGGTGCCCCCCCCACCTACGTCCCTAAGTCCAATGTCCCCTGAAGAAGAAAGGTTCCCCCCTGCCCCCAGGGGCCCTAGGCTGAGCCAGCCGTCATCACGATCGTCATCAGCACCCAGCAACCTAAAACTAGCCGCGGGGTTTCCCCACGGAGGCTCTGCCTGGGACCAAGGATGTGCTTTGGGCAAGTCCCGCTTCTTCCCCACCACATCATCTGCCAGGCTGTGCGTTTGGGAGGAGCCCGGCAGGCCGGGAGCAGGCCGGGCCTCGTTTCCCCGAGAGGAGAGCCAGGGACCCTGGATTGGACAGGCGAGGGAGGGAGGGAGGGCCGGCCGGCTTCCTTCCCAGCCCCCTCCCAGCTCTTGAGGGAGCAGCAGCCAGCCAGCCAGCCAGCCTCAAGAGCTGGGGTGGCAGGACCAGACAAGGGCACCTGGGTGGAAGGAAGGAAGGGCTCCGAAGAAGCTGAGCCAGTCCACAGCACCGTCACCCAGGGAGACCTTTGATCACTACATAAAGTGATCAAGCCTCTCGGTAAAAGAGAAGCTCCCTGTTTTTTCAAGCACATTAATTCCTCAATTTTTCTGGCTGGAAAAGAGAAGTGATTTTGCTGCCATTATGCAAAGCTAGCAAGCTACAGTCTTGTCGATAGCTGACACTAAGCTAAGTCACTTGCTTCATGTTTCCCTTCCTTTTCCCAACACAGCTCATCTCGCAGGGCAACCAGGACTGGCTTCCTGTTCCAAAACCAGGTGTGAAATGGGTTGAAAAGAATCCGTTTCTGCCAGTCCCCGTCAGCCCCAGAGCCTGGCAATGGAGAGAGGTCACGGGCCGAGGGGTCTGGACAGGAACCTCCGTTGCAATTTCTGGGTAGTGGTGAGTCACCCAACCCATGACTCTGTTCCTCGTGATTCCATAGAGCACAGCCGCATCCTCTCTACTGTGGAGAGAATCTTGCCCCCTCCCCCACTCGCAAGGGCCACAAAACCGCAGATTTTTGCAGAACTCTCTTGGTGTTGGCTGCTGCTGCGGCTGCTGCACTCTGGTTCACCTCCCTCGCTCGCTCGTTCCTTCCTTCCTTCCTTCGTCCTTCCTATGAAGAGTTGCCTCGGGGCCAGTTCCTGTTTCACCCATCTTCTCTCTTTGAACGGAATCCTTTATCCTTCCCGCACGGCTGTTTAGCGCTTTCTCTAAAAAATTATGAAGGCTGGAGGTTCAGGGGAGGTCAAAATAAGCAACACAACAGTCAGAGCGCTGCAATCAAAGCTCCTCCCCTTTGTACACGCACGGACTTTGCGCATGTTAAGAGGCTCCGTTTGTGGCCACCACTGGAGGCTTCCCTGCAGACGCCAGGGAGTGCCCTCTGCCCTTCCGACTGGAGGGGCAGCTTCCAGCACTGCCAGGGAGGCTAAAGGCTCACCAGCCACCTGCTCCAACATCTCCTCTCTTCCATCCTCCTCAGCCGACCAACCCACTGACTAACCCGGCCTGGCCCAACCCTGGGGAAGGAGGCAGATTCCGGCCAGCCCGGAGAAGCCGGGAGCGGGGGAGGGGTGGGGGGGTTGAGCGTTAAAGAAGGGAGCTGCCCTGTTGCTCCTTTTAATGCACAGCTTTCCCCAGGTTTAATTCTTTTATTTGCTATTTATTGAACCAGTACATCTTATACTTTATATACATACAGATGAATATTACTTCTGTTTGTGACAATACATAATATATTATTTAGGTAATACTAGCCGTAAGAAAACACGCACACAGAGGGACAGCCTCCCAATGAGTCAACTTAGGAAGTCGGGTGGCTGTGAGGCTGTGGAAATGGCTAGGGGACCTGCCGCGGAAGGAGAGGGGTCAGCCGGATCCAGAACCTCCAGGCAGGGCGTTGAAGGGCGAAAGGAAGGGGTGGAACCGGCTAAGCCCAACCAGGCGCCTTCCAGCTGGGCTACGATTCCCACTTCCCAGGGGAATCGGGCCCTTCCAACGTAACCCTTGGCTGCCGCCTGTGAGGGGCAGAGGAAACTTCAGGAGTTGAGTGGACCGGGGGGGGGCTGTTTACGGATAGCCTTGCTAGGGAGGCACCCATTATTTTTATTTTTAAAAAGTGCATTTCTTTCCCTGCAGTCTTCCGCGTGATACTAGCGGAGCAGATCCCCTCTGCTCCTCTGCAAAGGAGATCGTGGCCGGGAGCGGAGAAGAGACAAAACATGGAGAGGCTACCTGGAAGTGCCTTCCTCACTTGAAAACTACCCACAGGGGAAGCACCAAACCACGGGGTCACCCAGGACATGCAACAGGCGAGAGCCAAGACTACAGCGTAATTATTACCGCCCACGGAGGTCACGAGCCTACCGGGAGAAACGGATCTAGAGCGCAACAAGAAAACGGCCTCCCAATTCGAGGGCCAAGCGAAGCAGGTGTTTCAGAGCCGTGTGAGCTCGCCAACGGCAAGAGGAGCGAAGGGGAGACGTGCGCAAATCCCAAAAAGACACGGACCAGACAGGCAGGCGGAGGGAAGAGGCGCTGCCAGAAACGACTTCATGATTCAGTAAGCTCTGCCAGGGACAGGCTATCTAGCGACAAAACATACTGGCCAGAAAGTTGCATCCAGAAGCCTGACCCTCCCTGGCAGGGGCAGAGCTCACATGCCACCCTGCTCCTGTGATGAAGGAGTGGGCCGCGGAGCGAGCCTCTGCCGTGTGCGCGTGCCAGGCAGCCTATCTCGAGGGCACCACAAACCGGGTTCAGAAGGGAGCCCGGAAGGAGGTGCGTGCCCGTCATCTGTAAAAGATGGGAGCAGGAGGGTCTCTTGGGTGCTGCAACTACGTCCAATTTTGGAAGGGATCATCTCACTAGAACTGAGCCGTGAGAAAAAAGCCGGGGAAATTGCAAGGGCTCACCAAACACAAAACCGGATTCGGAGGCCCTGACTACCAAACTGGAGGGGAGGAGACTGAGGAAAAGCCAGATGAGGACTGCCCCAGATCAGGTGCTTCGACTGGAGCCCCCCGAGAGCAGAGATCAACAGGAGCAGCTCTGGCCCTCCGCCCGCACCAGGCGCACTGAGGCCCAGAAGAAAGGAAACGGAGCCTGGCTGGAAATCCCAAACGAAAAGCAGCGTCTGGTCAGCCTCCCAGACCTCAGGGACTGACCAGAAGCAGGAGCCCGGGTTTCAGCCATCCTTCCTCGCTCTTCCAAAGCTCCCGGAAGGGCGAATTCTGAAGCAATTCTGCTGTAAGAGATAAAATGCAACGGGCGTCAATGGGACGGGAACATCAACAAAAACAGGAGGATTGTCTGGAAATTAGGATTCGACTGAAGAGCCAAGGACGTTGGGAAACTCCCATCCCAGTTGGGTCCATCTGTCTCGGTCACTGGTCCACTTCCGTTTCCTCCACTCTGCTTCTTCAGAACTGAACCCAGTTAGACGGCTGAGCAGGCTGGCTGGGAACTGCACTGGGGTGTGGGGTGGAGGGTGGACACAGGCAGCGAAAGGATTAGGAGAAAGGCAAGTGGGCTGGGGGCCCCCAAGGACCGGCCCTCCCCAGGAGAGAAACCCCTCCCGTCTTTCCAACAAGATCTTGAAGCGAACATCCCTCCCCCCTCATGGGTGAAATCACGAAAGGAGAAGGGCTGCGACCCCGGAGCCTCCCTCTTACCTGGGTGCCGTGTTGAAGTCTCCCCAGAGATCTGGACTGCCTGGGAGGACGGCAGGCACGGGGCCCTTGGAGGCGGCGGGTGGCAAATCAAAGTCTAGGAGGATATCTGGGGGGTGGGGGTGTCGAAGGAGGGGGTTCTTGATTAGAAATATGGAGAGGGTCTCCTCCGACTTTCTCTCGGGACACCAATCAGGATCCACTCCCGATTTTCTCAGCCCTCAAAGTACCAGGATTAACAGGATTATATCCGGCCGATTGTTCTGCTTCAGCTTCAGCTTCAGCTCTTGCCAAGAGAGGCAGAGGATAAACCACTTGGGCTGCTACAACACCCGCCCCCCGCCCCCCCAAACCTTGCCTGGAACCACCCAAATCAGTGTGTATAGGTAGTCCTTGACTTATGACCACAAGTCATAAGTGAGCCCAATGTTTATGCTGTTAAGTGAGACATTTGTTAAGTGAGCTTTGCCCCATGTTACGACCTTTCTTGCCAAAGTTGTTCAGTGAATCTGTGCAGTTGTTAAGTGAGTAACCTGGCTATAAAGCCATTCTGGCTTCCCCATTGACTTTGCTGGTCAGGAGGTCACAGAAGGGGATCACGAGACTCCCAGGACACAGCAACGGCCGTAAGTATGAACCAGCTGCCAAGCATCAGAATTTTGACCATGTGATCATGGAGATACTGCGAAGGTCGTAACTGTGAAAAGCTGTCATTAAGTCACTTTTTTCAATGCCGTTGTTTGAACTGTTGAAAGTCAAGGACTACTTGTACTTACTTTGGACCGTAAGACCCACAAAAGGGAAGCCGGGGGGGGGGAGGGGGAGGGGAATCCCCGGCCAATCCGAAAGGCCAGCCTTTCCTTGGACCGGCTTGCCAGCCAAGCTGAGGGAGACATGCCAAGGGGTTTCTCCTCCTGAGGAAGAACAAGGACTCCCCATCCCGACTCCATGACCATCAGGGCCTCTGCCGCCGCCCCCCTCCCCCCCCCACTATTCTGAGCGCCTGCTGAGTGGGGACCCCCCAGAATCACCCTCTACCGGGAAGCAGCCGTTACCTGTGTTGCCAGCACTGCTGGACTTCGGCACGGGGGGTGGAGTTACGTGGTTGGAAATGGCTGTCGAAGAAAGAGGGGGAACCGGGGGAGGAGGGGCCATTTTGCCCCCCGGAGGTGGGGGGAGGAGGCTGAGTCCACCTGAGCCAGCAGGGCGGGGCTTTGCTGACCCACTTTTCTTGGCGGGGATATTCTGCAAAGGGAGAAAGGCAGCGTTAAGAGGGACCTCTCGGAATCACCGCCCCCCCCTTACCCCCCCCCCTTGAGACCCAAGCAAGCCAGGAAAGAGGCGCAGGGGAGCCTCACCCCAATGTTCAGCTTAATGGTCTGCCCTTCCTTGAAGCCCAGGTCAAGCTTGGGCCGGCTGTCCAGCTCCTGGGACTCCTTGGAGATTTCCGTCTCTTGCTTCACCCACCTGTGTGCAAGAAGGTTAGCTGCAAGGACAGAAGAGGAAGCAGGCTGGGCTGTCCTCGGCTTACAACAGCCACGGGGACCGGAACGCTGGTCACTAAGCAACGCGGTCACAAAGCGTGGCTGCATCGCTTAGTGATGGCAATGTCGGGGGTGCTAACTGAACCCTGGAGTCGTTGGGGGGGGCAACGGTCTGCTGGCTTCCCACAATGGAAGTCAGAAGGAAAACTAGCGAAGTGGTGGTGGGGGAGAGCGGGGCTGGGATGGTGCAAACGGTCGGCCCTGAGAAAGTGCAAAGGTGCTGGGGGCTGTGTGGGGTGAACATGTGGGGTAATTGCGCCCTTCTCTGCCAACTTCCCAACTAACTTTCTGGGGAAGCCGGCAGGAAATGTTGCAAATGGCGATCACGTGGTTGGGGGGGGGGCTGAAGCTGCTCTTGAAGTGCTAAGTGCCCAGATTGTGATCACGCAACCGTGAGGAAGCTGCAACGCTGAGGATCCGTCCTACCCACCATCGGTTCAGCCCTGCTCTAAGTCTGAATGATTGTTCACCGAATGGCTGAAGGTCACGGTCAACCCGTGAAGGTGCCCAGAGGAAAGGCTCAAAAGCCCCTCGGCCGTAGGGACCCTGGACGGCAGATGGGAGGCTCGCTCTGAGAGGCTGCAACACTGTTTAGTGCAACCACACACCCTGTTTTGTCTGAGGTTTCAAGAGAGCTCCTCACCCTCCTGGACTAGGCGATGAAACAACCCCATCTGAACGGAGCTGAACAAACCGAGCCCCCATTCCAGACAGAAGCAGCTCCGTTTCTGTGGAGCTGGGAAGGAAGGTTCCCGCCCTAGGCTGACCCTCCTCCGGCCGATTCCCCTCCTCGCCCAGCAAGGCAGACTCACTTGAAATGGTCCTGCAGGGCCACGTTGAAGTCAAAGGCGTCTCCTCTGTCGCCAAAGCCGATGCCAATGAAGGCGCTGCGCCCTGATCAAGAAAGCCAGCAGCAGTTAGCACAGCCGCCGGAGGGAAAGATCCCAAGAGATCCTGGGAATTCTCTGCCACTTTTTGCTAACGCAGCGCCTTGTATGCCTGGCCTTCGGGGAGTCTCTCTGGCTTCCCATTGGGAGAAGGGGCCGACTCTGCCACCTTATAGGCCTTCTTATCCTCTCAAAGGAATGCCAACCTCCGTATCAGTCCCTGGCCCAGAGGAAACTCTTTCCTTAGGCTCAGGAGACCTGGCGGTCAGAACCAACCTGGTAACAGCTTTCACGCCACACCTGTACAATAGCCCCAAGGACTTCCTTAGCTCCATTATCCCTCCTTTAGATGCCTTCAGTCCATCTGAGGCCGTTCAGGTCCTCAGCTGAGAACCAGCCGGAGAGAGAGAGGAGTTTTCACACGGAATCTCTCAGGTCGCTCCCCACGTTCAATTCCTCTCACATTTAGTTCAGAATTTTCCTCGCCGGGCATTTGGCTCTGCCCAAGGCAAGGCACGCTCTGAAGTGCTTTGCTCCACCTGCTCCCGAGGGGCATTTCTTGGCTCCCTGATGGCTGAAAGACGGTCCCCAGGGGCCAGATGCCTTAGGGTGGCTGGAGGCATGCTCAGTGGGGCCGCCATCATTCACATCAGCCAAGAAGAAACTGTGCATCCTTCTTCTTCTTCTTCTTACCATTTCCATCCTGAATCCGGATGACAAAATACCGGCTCGAGTCATTTACCGTCTCCACTGCAATGCCAGGGTACTGATCGATCGGAGCCTGTGCGAAAAGCTCCCCTAGGAGGAAACAAGAAGAGAGCCGCCTTCAAGGCCCAGCAAGGGAAGGGGAAACCAGACCCTTTCCAGAAAGCGTTTGGGCGGCAGGGGGGAGGGGGGCCTCTGGCAGAATGGCTGCCAGGGAGAGCTGCCCAAGAGGCAATCCTGAGAGGGCAGGAAACAAGGGCTTCGGACCCATCCATCTCTTGGGCAGCTGGATGGAGATTAGTAGGATGCCTTTTGTGAGTGGGCAGCTCTCCCTAGCAGCCGTTTTGCCAGTGCCCCCCCCCCAACCTTGGTTGACCTCTGAAACGAGATCCTTCACCAGGGCATCCTCTGTGCAACTAGATTGGAATAATACATAGCCATAGCACTTAGATTTATATACAGCTGCACAGAGCTTTACAACCTTCTCTAAGCGGTTCACAAATACCAGTATTATTTGCCACCAACAATCTGGGTCCTCTTTTACCGAAGGACGGAAGGCTGAGTCAACCTCGAGCTGGTCATGATCGACCTGCTGGCAGTGGGCAGAGTTTGCCCGCAATACTGCATTCTAACTGCTGTGCTACCATAGCAAAATATCAAATTATAGAATTTATAAAATAATCTAACAAAAAATCAAATTAACCCAATAAAAAATTGATAAATAAGATGTCTTTTTTCAAAGCTGCAATTAGAGAAGCTTTATGTTTCCTAAGTTTCAATGTTCCATTTCCTGGAAAGGTGTTTGAGCATTTGTTGTGATTTGAAAGTCAGTTCTTTCCCTTCGTTTTGAATGAGGAGCAGCCGGAGGGCTAAGAGCGAGACGGGAAAGGGGGTGGGGAGCCCACTTTGGCAAAAAGCCGGGTTGGAACACAAACTAAGAATCAGCCTAGACTCAGGCATAAAAACACCAAACCTTCAAGCAAAACCGTGCCGTGAGCGGGGTTAGGAATCCAAGTCAATCTGCAAAAATCCTGATTTGGAGGAATCCAAGAACCAGGCCAGAAAGTGTTCCGTATTGCCCAAAACCCGCCGGAAAGAAGGCTCCCCATAAAATTACCGGTTATCCCAAACCACCCAATCAATACCTCATTACTCAGAGATAATTACAGACAGCTTTGGATTGCTCCAGCATCACTTTCCATAAGCAGAAAGGAGAAAACAACCCAAGTATTTCATTGGCCCTGCTTCACGGAGACTCTGCTTTGAAAGATCACCAAAAGCAGAAGGCGTCTAGAAGAGGCCCGTCCGTCCGTCCGTGTATCACTCGGCCCAACGAGGGAAGGAGCAGCCACAGGCGGCAGGACCTTTTGAGGAGCCCATCAAGGCCTCCGGGGGCCCCCGGGGCTCTCCTAGCCGGACCCTCACCTGAGACTTTGTCCTCCAGCTTCACGTAGGCGACCTTCCCCTTGGAGGTGACGCGCAGGCGCCCCGTCCAGTCGGGCTGATCCAGCTTCCAGTCGGAGGCCCTGCAAGGCAAGTCCTCCACTTACAAGGGCTCAACGTTACACGGAAAACAGTGGCTCACCACCCTTGCTCCACACTTACGACTGCCGCAGCCTCCCCGTGGCCGCACGGGCCGAATTTGGACCCTTGGCAACCGACCCATAGTTATGACGGCTGCAGCCTCCCACGAGCCCCTCCTGCGACCTTCTGACAGGCAAAGCCAAGGGCAAAAACTCACTCAACGACCCTCTCGCCTAGCAACGTAAGCTCTGGGCTGAACTGCGGCCGTAAGTCGAGGGCTGCCGGGAAGGCTTCGGCCGGCCTGGCCCTGCCGGACCCCGTGAGGGTCCCCCCGGGCAGAGGCCCCGCCAGGCCCCGGCTCCAGCCAAGCCTCCCTTCCCCCGGCGGCGCCTGGCAAGAGGGCAGAGGCGGCTGGAGGGAAGGAGGCAGCCCCCGAGAGCTTCGGCCCCCCCCCCCCCCCCGCCCCCCCCCCCCCCCCCCCCCCCCCGCCGCCACCCACCGGAGGCCCCGCGGGGGAGGCGGCCGACCTTCGCCCGGGCGGGGCGGGGCGGGGCAGCGGCGGGGGGCGAGGCGGCGCAGGGCTCGGCCTCCTACCGGTAGCCGCGGTTGGAGGCCCGCGGCGGGATGCGGTAGACGCTGACCTCGGGCTTCACGCAGAGCACCGACTCGTACTCCGCCTCGGCCGCCGCCATCGCCCCCGCCAGCTGACCGCGAGCCGGAAGGGAAGACCCGCAGCCGCCTTCCGCCCGCCGCTTCCGCCCAGCGTCCTGGCGCGCAGGCGCCGCTCCTGCCTCCCGGCCTCTATGGCCGCCCGCGGGGGCGCTCAAGAGCCGTAGAGCCGTGCGGGGCAGAGGGGCCGCGCTGCCTCTTCGGGGGTGGAGCCCTCTGTCGGCTCCTCCCCTGGGCCGGGCGGGGGCGTGGCCGATAGCCTCTACAGGTGCGGGAGAAGGGCTCGGGGTGACGCCCACCGCAGCTCCTCCCCACCGACGGCAGCCCCGCGCTCGCCCGGCGGAGCCCCTGCTCGCTCGCTCGCTCGCTCTCCCCCGCCCCTCGAGATGCGCTTCAGCAGCCCCCCCTCCCCGCGCCAAGTGGCGGGGAGTCCCCCTGGCTCAGCCCCTCCCGCTTCATCGCCTGTGACTGCTCAGCCTCCCCCGCCCTGGGAAAGCGGAACTGGCCGACCGGCCCCGGCCCCAAAAGTGCTGATGGGGCACTTTCCCCCTTTCTCAGTCTCGCCTCCGGGGACGATAGCGAGGGAGCCCGGCGGAACCTCGCCCAGGTAGGAAGGGGGGCTTCTGGCGGTCGGGGGCCGCGACCCTCCCCAGGCGGCAGGCAAGAGTCCTGGGCCTCCCCCACCCCCAGCTCTGCCTTGACTCCCAAGCGGCGACTCGCTTTGGACCGACCGGTTACCCGCAGCCTGCCAGACTAACCCGGCGAAGAAAGCCGCTCCTTGGCAAAGCGAAATCGGAGGATCGCGGGCTGGAGACCCTCCCCCCCCCTTTAGCTTCCTGCTGTTCTCCGGGATGCTGCTAACCAGCGGCAGGAGCCCTGGGGCTCCCCCCCCCGTTTTCCATGGCCAGATCCTGCGTGGGGGCGTGCAGAGCTTTCCCCCGGTCTAATCCTGTGGCCTTGGGCTGCAAAAGGTTTGGGTGCCATCAGGTGCGGAGAGCCTGGTCGGTGGCAAACTGCGGTGGGCTTTTACAGATGGAAACTTTAGGAAGCTTCCGCAGTTCCAGACTTTCACAAGGGGCTTTCCTCTACCGTCCTGAAATGGATCTCAAAGTCAAAGGCATAGCTTTTTGCAGTCAAAAATATGTTTTCTACTTCTAATCAGGACCAACACATCCTTTCTTGATCAATTAAAACCATCTCCCTTACAGGTTTCTAATATTGTCCCAATATTTGTGTTATGTACAAATGGAGCCAGCCAGCTAATGTCACGAATCTTGTGGTTGGAAAGCAAAGCAAAAATCCCCTTGGCCGGCCAGCATCTTCTGGTTACTAAAGATCAGCGACAGCCTTGTGGGGAGCCGTCCCACAAGCATTTCCCCCACAACGCTGGCTGAGGATATCGGGGCATGAAAATGCAGCTCGCCAAAGGTCCCTCTGGGGTGGGGGGGGGGGGGGGAAACCCCACGTCCACCTGCAGCCCAAGATAACGTTTCTGAACTCTTTTCAGGCTTCCCTTTGTGACAAGAGATGGCTCCACTGCTAGCGAACGGCAGCTTAGACGAAAACAGTGAGCCTTTCCCGCTGCCTTCCACCTCAGTCGGCTCCCTGGCCATTTTCTCCATCACCTTCCTCTTGGGCTTCCCCGGAAATGGCCTGGTCATCTGGGCGATTGCCCTGAAGATGAAGCGAACGGTGAACACGGTTTGGTTCCTGCACCTGGCGATCGCCGACTTTGTCTGCTGCCTCTCCTTGCCGTTCTCCATCGGTCAGCTGGCCCTCCACGAGCGCTGGCCCTTTGGCCGGCTTCTCTGCAAGGTTCTCCCCTCGGCCGTTATTTTCAACATGTTTGCCAGCGTCTTCCTCCTCACCGCCATCAGCATTGACCGGTGCCTCCTGGTGACCAAACCCGTCTGGTGTCAGAATCACCGGACGGTCAGGCTTGCGTCCGCAGTCTGCGGTGTCATCTGGATCCTTGCCTTCCTTTTGTGCTGCCCTTCCTTCTTCTACCGGGAGACCCTGAAAGATGAATTTGGCAATACCAGGTGCATGAACAACTGGCAAACGGAGAGACATGAGGACTACCAGTGGTTGGATGATCTGTGGGACGTAGAAGACCCCACCCTTTTGGCCACCGAAAGCACCTACGACCGTGCCTCCCCAGGTGGGAACCTGGATCCACACCCTTCCTACCCCACTGTAAACACAACCCAGAGAATCACCGTGACGCCTTTGGGCGTATCGCACCATTCTAGAACCAAGACAGAGGCAGATTTCATGAGGAGGCCGGTTACTGTTGCTCCTTCCATTCTGCACGAGTTTCCCGGGGTCCATCCGAGTTTACCCACAGCCAGCACTTCCCAGTTCAAGGACCAACCGGCCGATTATTTCCCTGACGCCCAACCGCCCAGCGTCTTTGTGTCCATCACCCTCACCAGAGCTGTGCTTGGCTTCCTGCTGCCTTTTGCGGTCATGGCCGCTTGCTACGCTCTGATTGCCCGAAAGATGCTCTCAAAGCTCTTTGTGGGGCCTCGCCGGAGGGCCCTGCAGCTGATCCTGCTGGTGGTGGCCACTTTCTTCCTCTGCTGGGCTCCCTTCCACGTCACTGGCCTGCTTTTCCTCCTGGCTGCCCCCCAAACCTCACTTCACCAGGCCCTGCTGTGGTGGGACAGCGTGTCCGTTGCCCTGGCTTATGCCAACAGCTGCATCAACCCTCTTCTCTACGTCTTCGTGGGGCAACATTTCAGGAGGAAGGTCTGCCAGACGGTGCAGGAGATGTTTGAGGGGGCCTTTGCGGAGCCCTCCTCGGCAGTCTGTTCCCGGGACAAAAGGCAGACGACCACGGTTGACGAGGTGGATGTTTCTGTTTCGGTTCTCTAACACGGGCCAAAGTTTCGGGGAAGTCTCTAGTGAAGCAAGAAAAGGGAGGCTAGCTTGGCTTACAGTCTGCGCTTCTTCCACTAGCCCTTTGCGCTTGTTTTACCTGCGTTACTTTAAGCGGCTTATACTTCCAGCCTGCCAGCGACGAGTGTTTTTAAAGTATTTTTTAAGATGTCTTTAAAAAAAGATGAGCAAATGCTCACCAAGAAGATACCAGAAACTGAGGATGGGAGGAAGGGGCTGTGGCCAAAAGCTCTCTCCTTTTGCCCCCCGCCCAAGGGGCCCCACCCTGCCAGCCGGCCCTCCTGTGGCAGTTGGGCTGGGAGCCTCCCACGAGATGCACCTTCCCAGGGCTTGGCTCCCACTGAAGCATCTCCCAGTCCCAACGGGCCCCCGCAGAGGCCAAGGCTGCTGGTGTGGAAGCTTCAGGGATTCTTAGGATGAGGATTCAGCAGGGTGGAAGTGGGGGTGGGGTGGGGTGGGGACGGTTTCTCTTATAGCGCTTCTGGGCTGCATGAGAAATAAACAACATGGAACTCCCCAAGGCCAGCTTTATTTTCCTCCATCTCCTGGCAATGTCCAACCTGGGTTGAAGAAGCAGCCTCCTTTTCCTGCTATGCAGGATGATGAGGGAGTTGGGGATGGAGTGACAGCCCACCTTCCCGCAATAACCCTCTGGGCCAGATAACAAAGGCTGCCTTCCTCGAGGCCGGCCAGGAACAGAAAGTCGCCCAACGAAGTTCACGTCCGGCGGGCTCGAGAGCGATGGCCTGGGGTAGCTTTCTGGCTGAGCTGGCATCCATCGGCTGGGTGCACCTGTCAGCACTGCAAGGGAAGGAAAAGGGGGGGGGAAAGGCCCAGGCCATTCGGGGGGGGGGGGGGGGGGCTAACCAATGAGTGGGGTGAACAACAGAGGCCTTCTGGCCTATGGGGGTGGTGGGAGCCGCAGTGCCCCCGTCCTAAAGTCTGGCGCACGCCCATAGCCCCCCTTTTGATCACATGACGGTGGGGGGGGGTGAGGCAGGGGTTTGGGATTTTGAGGCTCTCCGTGATGGCCACGTGACTCTGGGCCTGGGCGCAGGGTGGGCCCTTGGCAAGGATAGCTCCCCCCCTCACCCCTGCCCTTCACCCATCCACGCAGAGCCTTCCTTTGCGCAGAGACGCTGAGCCAGAGCGGGCTGCACGTTCAAGGACCGGATTTAAACTTTTGTTGGCTTTTGTTCAGTAAGAACTAAGAGGGCCTTAAATCTGTCAGTCCTGCAGTCTGCCACAAATTAAAACAGGGGCACCAAAACGGTTAAACCATAAACATTCACTTTTTTAATTAAGAAAGCATGCACAAAAATAATTTTTGTGAGGCCACCCTCCCCTCCTCGGCGTCAAGCATTGTGGGCCGCACAGAGCAATGGGCAGGAGAGGGATCCCCCTCCGTGGCTGTTGGGCAGACCGGGACGGCCGTTGGTGGGGCACTGCCTCGGATCGAATCCTTACCCCAGGATGACACCGTTTCTTTACAGGGAAGAAAAGGGGGAGGAGACCGATTTGGACACTGACTGGCATATATTTACATACGCAGAAAGGCGCAACTGTGTGGATGAAGAGCCTGATGGATGATCTCTTGCCTCCTTGAATGACCCTTCCTGGGGGGGGGGGAGGGGAGTCCTCCGCAGAAGCACCCTGCCCAAAACCTGGAGGAGAAGCCATCCCTGCATCCTGCCCCGGGCAGCATTCTCATGACAGGAGGCAGCACCAGGTCTTCCTGCACATCCGGCTCAGGGTCTCCCTTGAGACAGGGTCCCCCCCCTCCCCACTGTCCATACTCCCTCCCTCCTTCCCTCCCCAGCAGTGAGCTGGATGCGGCAGGAACCTCCCCCCCCCTCCGCATGACGGTTCTGCATCCAACCGGGCTCTCCCCTCAACCCACCCCTACAAAGCAGGCTTGCAGCTGGAGGGGCGTGCAGGGGAAGGAGAGGTCTGGCCACAAGAGAAGCACACTAGAAAGGGGAAACCCAGCAGTGGGTTGGGCTGTCAAAATGGAATCCCCGGCGGGCCCAGTTTGTGGCACCCATGCTCGGAAGGGCCTGTCAACCACCCACCCAGCCTCTGCCCTTCCCCACTCTCTCTGGAGCAGAAGGGGGCGTCCAGCTTCCCTCCCCAGTCAATCAGGGAGTGCCGCGTCTCCTTCAGAGGTCGGCTCCTCTCGCTGCAGGAGGGGCTCAAATTGGAGCCCTCCAAGTTCTGCCCGGCACGATGTTCCTCTTTCTGCCTCGCTTCATCCACCATGCAGGAAGCATCCCTTGCTTAGCTGTACAAGGCAGAGGAGCCGGGGGGGGGAAACCCTCCTCCTCTTTTGCATCACAAGTCACAACACGTTCCAGCAAAATGGGGGGGGGGGGGGGGGGGGGGGGTGAAATCCAGAAGTTTAAAAAAAAAAAAAAGCCCTTGAAGGGGAGAGGAGTACGGTTCTCCTTGATTCGTCTGTCTCATCTGCTGCCTTCAAAGAGGGGAAGAGAGGAGAGGAAGCCGGTGGCAGAAGCCCTGGTCTAGTCCAGCAGTCCTTGCTGTCCATCCCACCTGACGCGGAGCAGACCTGTCCAGCTCTCCTGATCTGCCAAGGGCTGAAGTGCAAAACGGCAGGGAGTTGAAAACGGGGAGGGCCACCCCCGCCCTCCTCTCTCAGCAGCAGCAGCAGCAGCCGAACAGCCTTTGCGTTGCAAGTCGGGCGATGTCCTCCTCGCTTCCCGTTCCAGCCTCTCTCGGCCTCTCCAGGCCCAGTCTTGCCTTCTTGCCACGGCCACGGCCTTCCTCCCTTCGCTCGCTCCTGCTTGCTGGTGCAAGGAAGCGGGCAGAGTTCTCCTTCGGACCAGTCCAACTCCCTCCCCCCACACACATACGTCACGACATTTAGGAAGGACATAATTCTTACAGACTCTCAAGATCCACAGGCGCGCTCACTTCAGCAGCCATCGAGAGAGTCCCTGGCCACCTCTAGGGGAAAGAGGGATTGTACAATGCAAGGGGTGACGACGACGACGACGACGATGATGATGAAGATAATGATGATGATGATGAAAGATGCCCTCAATTCTTTGGAAGTCTCCTCCGGCACCAGGGCAGTCTTCCGACTTGCATCCAGACAAGGTGCCCAATAAACGTGTAAAATCCGAAGCTGGCAGATAGAGTGAAAAGGGCTGGGTACAACGATGATGATGATGATGATGATGATGGTAATAATATAATAATAATAATAATAAGGAAGAAGAAAAGAAGGTAAAAACAAGGAGCGCAAGGAAGATTATCTTGGGCAGCATCTTGTGGCAGCTTCTCTGGCTGAAGAAGAGAATATATATCTATATACAGGCAAGGAAGGAGGCCGAGCGCTGGCCTGGGACTGGCACGCACAGCTTCCTCCTCCTGCAGGGACCCTCCGGGAGGGATGGGCTACCAAGTCTCTCGCTTGCTAGGTGATCAAATCCCAATTGAAATCATCAGGGATCTCCTCGGGGGCTCCTGGAGGGGGCCGCGAAACCAAATGATGACCTGAGCAAATTGCACAAGGCGGGAAAGAAAAGCGCAAGAAGGAAGCGTAAGTTGAATTCTTCTGAATGCTTCCTGTGGCAAACCCCCCTCCCCCTTTCCCTGGCATTTGAGGGAGCCCTTAATTGAATTAACTTATTTAATCTAAAGAATTAAAACGGCTGAACGTTCACAAGGTTTGCCAATTCAAGGCCGGGGATTAAGTGGGCAGGCCGACGTCCAGAGAGCCTGCCAGGGAAAGTATGAGCAGCATTTGCCAAGCAGCTCAAGCCGAAGCAGCTGCCTCCCCAGTTGGCCACCGATTTGGACATCTCCTTACCTGGGCGGTTATACCCTGGGGAATCCTGGGTGGGAATCGAGTACATCGGCGAGGGTCCCGAGTACAGGTGGGGAGGTGCCGGCTGACCATACGAGTTCACTGGGGAGAAGAGGGGCAGACAGGGAGGGTCAGGACTGAAAATCCCTACCGTCTCTTTGAGACCACCTTGGATTGGGAGCGGGGAGGGGGCTGTTTTATGGTGTCCGCCTGCTTCTTCCCCTTCCTGTGAGGAATTTGCGGTTCATGGCACACTTCATATTGAAAAGGGTTAGGGTCTCATTCGGACATCTAGGGGCAGAGGTGTCTAATGGGGTATCTTGAGGAGACGGCACCTCCTGGCCTCCCCACCATCCACGGAGGTAGCCCTAACCTCCACTACTATGACCAGGCCTGGACCCTGGGAGACACGGGTCATTTTTAAAAGAGGAAGGGCTTAGACTACCCCTCTCGTCCAACACTGAGCTGCTCAGAAGGGCGGCCCTGCTCCCAATCGGCTCCCCATAACCCCGTCATAGGCTGAGACGGCTGATTTCCTCAGGTCACCCCGATTCCTCCAGGGGAGGAGCACACGCTCCCCCACAAACGCCTTCAGGCTTCTCCCCAAGAAGGGAGGACGCAGCTGTCCTTGCCCCTCCCTCCCTCCCTCTCCCAGAAGGCTCTCCTGCCCTCGGTCTCTACCTTGGCTCATGGGCTGCTCCTGCTTGTTGCTGTTCAGGGCACAGGACTCGGAGATGCGGGGGGGCTGCGGGGGCCCCCCCAGGTGAGGGAGCTGCCCGGTCTGGGTGAGAAAGTGGTTCAGGGAGTCACAGAGGTTGGCAATGTGGTGCTGGTCTAAGGACCAGTTCTTCCGTTCGGCCTGGCGGAGGCTCTCCATTAATTCTGTGGCGGGGGAGGGGGGAACAGGCAATCACTGCTCTGCCCACACCAGGGACACACACACCCCTAGAGGGCAGCCCCCCCCCAAGGAAGATGCCCTCACCTGAGAACTGGGAGTGTTCAATGCTGGACCAGTTGAGCCGATTGACCATCTTGAAGCTTTCTTTCAGAGAGTCAATGTTGGAGCACCAGTCGGAGGGAAAAGCTGGGGAGGGGCAGACAAGACAGGCAGGGAAATGAGCGTCCCCCAGATCTTCTCCCTTATCCCCAGGCGCAGGAGATGCACCCCAATGTTACGGAGAGGATTGAAACGTCACTCAACATAGCCGCCCAGTTCATTTATGCTAGACAGAGCTAAAATGGCTTCCATCCACTTAGGCGGCCATTTTTCCTCCCGCCACCTTAAAATTCACCCCATGGGACAAAGCCCCTCCCTGGGCTGGAACTCACCAAAGCTGGCGTTATTGAGGGAGGCCTGCGACTGCTGCTGCGGGTGGGCGTGGGGATGATGGTGCTGGTGGTACCCTCCGTGCTGCATGGCAGAGGGGTGCAGAGACATCACGGGAGGTGGGCCGTAGCCGTCCCCCGCCTGCTGCTTGCTGCCCTGGGACTGGCAGCTCTCCGAGGTTGGAGTGTGGAGGGGCGGCGCAGCTCCGACGGAGGGAGGCCCCTGTGGCTGCTGGTACATGTAGTAGCTGTGGTTGGAGGGCTGCATCTCCCCCAGGAGGGAGGAGAAATCTGAAGGGCAGATCAGGAGGAAAATGCTCAGGGGGCGCATGGGGGCCTTCCTGTTCTTTCCCAAGCCCTGCGACCAGACTTGTGCCCCGCTGAGCCTTTTCCGGGGGTGGGGGTGGTAGGGGGCCTCTGGTGTTGGGAAATGAACTCTGACTGGTTCCGGGTCAGGGGTGTCGATGACCTGCTTCCGATGCCCCCCCCCCCACCCTGCAGACCCCCCCAAAGCCAGTTCTGCTCCCTTCAGAGGAAAGCCGGTGGGGCAAGCAGGAGAGGGTCTGCCCCACAGCCCATGACCCCGCTCAATATGGCGCCCTGCCAACTGTGCCCCTCCTGGGGCCAGGGAGTGGTTTCAGAAGGCGGACAGGGGGCTGTTTGCCCTCCACAAAAGAGCACGCCCCCTGCCCTGCCCTGCCCTGCCCAGCCTGCCTGATGTCCCTCGCTGGCCTTTCCCCACCAGACGTTTCCAAGCCAAGTCCTGGGCAGATGCTGTTCTCCCCAAGCAAGCAGGGAGCCAAAGGGGAGGGGCGGTGGGGGCAGACAGAGTGCTCCCCCAAACTGCATGAAGGGGCTGCTTCATGCCAGCCGCCCGTTCTCATAAGAGGGTCTCCAAGCATCCCGAAGGAACCCTCAGAGCAGCTCAGCAGCCCCGTCTGGATCAGAGGAGCCGGTCCCGGGTGCAACTCACTTGTCCCTCCCCCTGCCCCCACCCCTGACCACCTAGCCCCGCTGCTCACCATGCTGGGAGGAAGAGGACTTCTCGAGCATCGATTTGTAGAGATTTCGGAAGGACCAGCTGAGATCCTGGAAGTTGATTTCCGAGTAGGAGAACTTCAAGTCGTTGCTGGTGCTGTAGTGCGGAGGTGGCACCTCGGTCCCTTCCCGGCCTTGTCCACCCGCCACCGTGGCGGCCACCTCCACTGGCCCTGCGCTCTGCTGCAGAAGGCAAGCAGGGGGGGGGGGTGAAACAGGAGCACACCCGGGGGGGGGGCACCAAAGGGCTCTGTCCTGGGCCAAGGCTCACCGGGCCTCCTGCCCCCACCCAGCCAAATGTCTTTGGCGCCATCATCACGCACCTGGCCGTAATTGCCCAGCGGGGGTGTGCTTTGCAACGAGAGCTGCTGGTTGGACTCGGGGGAGAGCGATGCCTCGGGGCCCAGAGAGACGGAGCCCCGGGGGCTTTTGCTGGCCTCCTGGTCCGGGGAATCCTGTGACAGCTGGAAAATCAAAGCAGGCAGTCGAGCCTCATCACAAGAAATAGGGGCGCATCTTCTGCGCAAAAGCCAGGCGCATGGAAGGCCAGCACAACCTCCCAAGGAAGGGGCCTCCAACAGAAGCCTCGGGCTCCATCCCTGGTGGCCAAGGCCAGGTGCCCTTCCAGGGACTCTCTCACAGCGGCAGCCCTGAGAGAACCTTCACAGGGAAGAAAACTCCCATCAATTGATCAACTAAAGGAGACGACTGAGCAGTTGCTCAGTCAATGAAATCTATTTCTTTAAGCAAGAAGTTGGTTTTGAGGATGGAAGAAAGGGGCTCCTTGACCATTTTAAAAGCCCTTTTCCCGGTGGCCCCTGGGGAAGAGGGATCCCCCCCAGTGCTCTGCTGGAGGGTCAAACTCACATCGTCATCCGGTGGATGGCGCCTCTTCCGGGAAATATCGGGACAGGTGTCAATCGTCCAATACGAGCCCTGAAAAGACAAAGGCAGGCAATCCAGCTGCACTGGCTGCTCTTCCCCCTCCTGCCACGGCCAGGCCCTCTGCCCTCTTTCCGTTTCAGTGTCATCATCCCGAGCGAGTTGCAGCCTCGCGTAAACCCTCTTGGGAGGAACAGGTTGGACAGGAAGGGCTGCCGCCGTCAGAAAGAGCAGCCCCCCCCCCCCGGGAAAGGGAAGGGAGCCTCCCAGGCGAAGCTCCCGTCCTCCTGCCTCTGTCTGCCACCTCCAAAGACGGGGAGGTTAAGTGCCCCCGAGCCCCCAGCCCCCATTTTGCCCGAAGCCCATTCCACGGGCAGAGCCGCCTTGCCCTCTGTGGCCCTTCGTGGATCTCCTTTTGCCTCACTGGGTCAAAAGAAGGCGGAAGGCTTGAAGAATCCCTTGGTGGGGAAAAGCCGGCTCACCTTTCCAGGGTCGTCCCGGGGACGAGGCACTTTCCGAAAGCATTTGTTCAGAGAAAGGTTGTGCCGGATGGAGTTCTAGGGAGAGAAGCGAAGGAATCGCTGCAGTAGTCAAGCAGCTGCTTAGCCCTGCCTTCCCACCTCCTCCCCAAACACGCCTTGCCCATTGGCTGGGAGAAAGAGGCCGGCCCAGCAACTTCCTCACCTCCTGCATCTCAGCCTCCCCTACCCCGGCAACCCAAGCCCCCGTGCTTCTCCCCCAGGCCTGCTGCCCTGACAGCCCCTTGGCCTCTGCCTGGGGGCTTCTGGCCACAGAGAACTCTGCAGTATCGCACAGCTTCAGCCCAGGGAAGGCAGCTGCGGCGTGAGGATCTGGAAGCCTTCAGGGGTCCCAGGCCCCTCGTTCTCTGCACCGCCAAGCAGCTGAGGAATTATGGCTCAAATTTTGCTGGGAAATGGAGGGCTGCGAAGGGCGGCAGCAGCCGCAGCAGGCTGACCTTCTCTGGGCTGAGACGATGTGCGGGCCTGGCCTCGTCAGGCCTGGATGGGAGACCCGGATAAAAGGACTCAGGCTGCCAAAAGGACCCAGGAAGTATATTTGTATCATTGATCTGTCTGTCCATCTTATTCTGTATTGTAATTGTCTCGAATCGGCACAGAAACGCTCGACAGACAAACGAATGAATGGCAGATTCCTGCCCTGCTGGGTTCTTCAGGCCAGACAAGAGAGTCCAAGAAGAGGGACCAAGAAGACCCCAACGGCCTCTAGGCAGCTCCACCCTGAGGAGAAGCAGGACTTTCCCCCACACTCTCCTGCCTGCCCAGCCAAGACTTCCAGCTCTGACCCTCAGAGTCTCGTATCTCTAGTCACCGACCAACCTGTCTTCTGAAAATATTTTCGGATCCAGACTTGCTTAATCCTCAGAATATGGTTGCTGTCTGCCAGAAAACCAGGGCCCAGCAGGTACTACTGCCCAAACAAAATAGGCTAGCAGTGAAATAGCTTTACTCGAGCAAAGCAAAATCTTGATAAAGAAATACCGGAACCCACGGAGCCAAAGGAGTTCTGCCACTTTCTCTAGAGGTCAGGCTAAGAAACTTAACTGGATTTTTGCAGGACTAAAATAGCATTTGTGGCATTTCTCCACATAAACAAGTACCCCTGCCTCTGGGGTGAGGGCGAGCTCTGCCTCCGCTAGGCCCATCTCGTATTTTTCGTTTGGCCTAGAGCAAACCTACCCCAAAGCCTGGGCTTCCCCAGGACTGAAACCTTTGACTCTCTGAGCAAATGCTTCAACCTCCGGAGGAGTCAGTCCAAAGGGCAGCTGCCTCTGAATCCCCAATAAGAGAGTGTCATACTTCTGATCACCCCTTCCTTGTTTCAGCTGCTTTTAACACCGTGTGTGGTTTTTCTTATAAGTTTGCTTGATTTTCTTTCCCTTTTTTGTCCTGCAACCCAGAGCCCGTCCCATTGCAGCCATGCAAATGTTCTAAATAAATATAACCCAGGCACCCTCACAAGGGACCTGGGAAGCATATATAGAAAAGTTTTTTGGAGTTACGTTCCGAAATAAGACTACTCGTATAAAAAATGCTTCCATCTCATGCGCACACCCCTAACCACCACCATCATTTAAACCACAATTTCTCCTTGGGGCAGAAATCTGTGGCTTTGGCTCAACTGAGCCCTCCCTGCACGGGGGGCGTGTCACAGCAATGAGGACTAGCTTCTGAAAAGCCGGTTCTCATGAGCCCAGCAACGAGAGAGCTTCACGCTCGGGGTCCTCACCTTCCAGCCTATGCCCGCATTCTTGTAATAGGGGAAGTTGTCGCAAATCCAGCGGTAGATTTCGCTGAGGGTCATCTTCTTGGCGGGCGAGGAGTTGATGGCGTAGGTGATCAGGGTAGCGTAGCTGTAGCGGGGCTTCCCGTCCTGGTGGACCGCGGCCTCATCCTTGCTCAAAGTGGCATTGGGGTCGGTCGGAGAGCCAGGCGGACACTTCCGGCCAGCTCCCGGGGCACCTGACTGAGAAGCCCCCCCTAATTTCTCAATGGTGGCCCGAAGAGTGAGCTGGGGGAGCCAGTCGATGGACGTGAGGCTGCTTTCCAGGTCAGAAGCCATGACGTTGGAGGACAAGATCTGTGGCGAAGACAGAAGCAAGGACAGGAAAGGTGAGTTAGGCGGCTCCCCAATCCTCTGCAGGACTAAGTCAAAATCTTAATTTATTCCTAAAGCCACCCTTTCACAGGTCTATATGTTACCCACTCTTGGGTAGTCTAGAAGCACAATTAGGTAAGCGAAACACTGCAGTCTGATCCCACCTCCTTGAAACGAAGGTCACACATTCCTGGAACAGGTGACAAATCGTTTGCATAGATGACCCCCCCCCCCAAAATAAGGGAGAGGCGCTAGCTCAACCACAGGTAGTCCTCGATTTACAACTGCAAGTAGGGACTGGAACTTCCATTGCTGAGGGATGTCTAATCTCAGAATGGTGATGCTGATTAAAAAGGGAAATAGAGAAAGAAACTGCTTTGTGGAAGTCGGCAGTCTGTAAATAAGTGTCTAATTAGATAAAAGCTAACATGGATCCTTAGGGAGCCATGATGGCACAGTAACCATCTAACCCTAACTCTGCCCAGAGCCAGGAGTTTGAGCCTGACCAGCTCAAGGTTTCCATCCTTCAGAGTTGGATAAAATGAGGACCCAGATTGTTGGGTGCAAAATACTGACTCTATAAACCGCTTAGAGAGGGCTGTAAAGCACTGAGAAGCGGGCTATAAGTCTAAGGGCTATTGCTATTTAGGGGCTGCGAGCACATTTTCACCATTAAGAGCCCATACTCATTCATCCATGGGAATTTCTGCATTCCCCACCATCATTTAATAGACTTCTGGCAGAGAACAATCTAAGCAAAAAAGCATCATAAATCAGACCATAGTGGGAACACCTCAACGGATGGCCCTGGGAAACCATGGCGGACCTAGCGTGGATTGGTAGACGCTTCCCACAACACCACCCTCCTCTTGCGGGATGAAGCAGGCCATCATCAGGGCCTCTCAGGCCAGTCTGTTCGCAAAGGGCGCCAAGCAGATGCCTTGCGGACGAAGCCCAAAGCTAAGAAGGCGCTGTGGGCAGGCATGCCACATCTGTCAGGGGCTGCCCCTTCAAGAAGCCCTCTCCTCCTGGGATGGCCCAACAACTCCTTCCCCTGAGGTTGCCCCAAGAGTCAAGGAAGCCTTGGCCACACAGACACACCTGCCCCTAAGCATCAGCACCTGCACCACTGGCACCTCCAGCAACTCAAACACGTTTGCCAGGGGTGAGAGAGCGACCATGCAGTCCCAGGAATGGAAGCAGCTTCCCTTACATGGGGTGTGGGGTGGGGCCCCCAGCCACCTCGGAAACGCTTTTGCAGCTTTGGATCCAAACCGCCACGATCTTACTGTACTCTCAAAACCTGGAAGAAGGTGGGCAAATTTCCTTTGACTCAAAGAGATGAGAAGAAAAGGCCTAGAACTGAATTCCTGAACACAGATCTCCTGTCCAGATCTACCTGCTGCAGGACACATAAAATTTGCCCTGCAGCAGGTAAATCTGAACAGAAGAGAATCTTACCTCCAGTCAACTAACTTTTCTAGCCTGCTTGCGTTTGTGCGTTAATGATTTAGTTCTTATTGGCTAATCAAGGGAATCCTTAAAGTCAGAAGCAGCTCAGGAAAAAGAATCTCCCCCCCCCACATTGCCTATCCCGAGATTACAATTATTTGCTGATCTATTTTATATCCTTGATGCAAAGAGGCTTAATGAACTACTAACTGCACAGCCCACTGACTCAAGAGAAGTCTAGAAATTAGAGTTTTACAGCAAGGAACCAACAGCAAACGTTCTCTGAGGTTCAGTAGGCATCTCCCAAACATTCATTTCATGTTCTTTTAGAGATTATATTAGGGGCAACATGTCATAGTAATACTTCTATTCTTTTAACCACAGGCTATACCATGCTTTGTTTCTCAGCCTTTTAGATAAGATCAAGGGTAAAAACAGGAGAAATAAATTCAATTATTTTCCTTTTCCCACTCGATCAGAAGTTTGAAGGACAAAAACAAGGTAGGGAAAGGAAAGAACCCAGCCATATAAACTGCTACTCGGTACCGGATTAATTTATCTAGAACAATAACCATTCTTCCATTTCATACTCAAAAATTCCGAATGTACTTCGCTCATAAACAGGTACAAGAGTGGGAAAAACAGAACTCTCGGTGCGCCTCCATTGGTCTACTATGAAGGCAAAAGTGGCCATAGTATAAACGTGGATTAAGTAGCCTGGAATTATGCCTTCTCTTGTGTTGGGAAACTTCAGGAACTGGCTACTAGCCATTACAGATTTTTCAACACAGCCTTAATTCAAAGACAGTTAGCTGCCCACGAAAAGAATGAACCCAAATTAAGTCAATTATGTTTTGGTCTCATTGACTTATGCAAGTCACTGCTAATTTTATTTATTTCAACAGCATTTGAAAATGACTGATCTTAGAATATCCTTGAAACCAATCCGGGGGGGGGGGGGGGGGGGGGGGGGGGGGGGGGAACGATGACACTGGGGTGATTTGAACAAATGAAGGAAAGTAGAGTTCTCTCACTTGGATAGGAAGAACCTGATGTATGGAAAACAAGACAGACAGACCAGGTTTCTCAACTTTAGCCACTTCAAGATGTGTGGATTTAAATTACTAGAATTCCTCAGCCGGGCTGGCTGGAGAATTCTGGGAGTTGAAGTCCACACATCTTAAAAGTGGTTAAGGTTGGGAAACACTGATATAGAAGATGCGGTGGTCGTACTAGGAAAAGAATCTGGCCGCTGTGGTAGACCTCACATTAAGCCTGAGCCAGCAGCATCCTGCAGCTACCGAAAAGAGCAAAGGCAATCCTGGCCGGGCTGCATCAGTAAGAGATACAACGTTCCATTCTATGTCACACCGATCAGACCACTCCAGTTCTGGTCATCCCAAAACAAGGAGGATGCTAAAGAACTGGAAAGAGCGAGGGAAGCGTCACAAGGCTTGTGAGGGACTTTGTAGGCTGAATTCCACTCACAATGGGTAAAAGAGCCATGATGTTTAGCTTAAAGAAGAGGAACCTGGGAGGAGACATGATAATAACCTTCCAAGACTTGAAGGGAAGCCACAGTGCAGAGGGTGGGGGGCAAGAACGGAAGTCTTACAGAAGGAGAACCAAACTTAAAATAAGGAGGAAATTCCTGAGCTACCAGGCAGTGGGTCAGCCTTTCGCCTGGAACTGTTGGGCTTCCGTCACTGGAGATTTTCAACCAAATTGATGGACAACTCATTTGTCTCACATGGTCTGTAGTTTCCTTCCCTGGGCAGGGGGCTGGCTTGGAAGACCTCCAAGGTGCCCTCCAACCTTCGAGTTCCATTAGTCTTTTTCTGCACCTTGGCTCAGGCAGAAAAGAGCTTTCTTCCAGCTATGGCTGCTCATCAGATGCTCTGGGGGGGCCTCCTGGATGATGCCTTCCTGGACTAGAAGCGATGCCACCGTCCCATTTGGAGTTTGCTGCAGGAGAGGGTGGCCCTACTATTATTATGAAACATGTTGCCCTGTCTATTCTTAGTGACTGAACTATTTCAGTATTAACTTTCCAGGTCTGCAGCACCAGGAGATGACCAGGCTAACCCTTTCAAGATCAGTTATTCCATTTTCAGCTATTCAGTTGTTTCTTGTGAACTGGACGCTTGCTAAGTCTACAAGACCAGGAGTCAACGTAACACAAAAACCAGACTACCAGGGCTTGAAAACAGAATGGATGAACTCTTGGGAGGAAAGGAAGGGGCAGGGTAGGAAGCCATGCCCATCAAAAAGTTAAGAGAAACAGAAAGACAGCTCCAGCTCCAGGGGAGAAGACCATGAATCTCTGGATAAAAATGAACTGAATAAAACTAAATAAATGAAACTAAATAAAAATAAACATGACTAGCAGGAAAAGAGGCACAGGAGATTAACATAAAGCATTTGATTCATGCTATAAGCAGGTAACAAGCCACTAAATTCAGGAAGGGGGAGGGGAGGAAAGTGTCTTGGCATCTCATTTGAGATATTAGAAGAGAACTAACCTGGAGAGTTCGAACAATTCAATCTGGGGAAACCCACAAAGACACAATTGTCTGGGCCTACTGCAAAGCACATATATTTTGAATGCTCCGGTCAAATTTAAATTTAAAAATTACTTCAGTGACCAAGATAGTAACATAAAGAGCCTAACATACTTCTACATCGCAAGACAATGAAGAGAATAACTCCTCTCTTCTGTGAGGTGTGCAGTTTTCTCCTTAAAAGAAAACAAAATAAAAATCTGGCAGCTTGCTGCTAACTAAGCTACATTTCTCAGAAGCCCTTCCCCATTGTCAGATGGGAAGCATCTGAAGTCACCATATTACTGTCCTGGTTTTAAAAAACTAACAGGAGGGATGATGTTTTCTCCTTTTTTTATATAAACTAATATATATTGTCTTACACTAGGATGGTTTAATTATTCTTTTGCTGCTTTTATGTTTATAAACTTTATTCTGCCCAGATACCTTTGGTTTAGATAATAATGAGAAAAGCATTCAAGCCTGAATATAATTCTCTTCCTTTTATCACTAAAAAGAAGAATGCAACATAAACTGATTCATAATATCTGATTTCAACACAGGACAGCTGCAAGATTTAATGGTAAGATAACTAAATTGCAACAGTGAAGTTCAAAACTTGTTCATGTTTTGATTACTTAGAGATCTAGCCTAGCAGTTTAAGCATGGATTCCTGCTCAAAAACCATGTTACAAAACAGCACGGAGCTTTGTGAATGCTTTCTGCAATCGTGTCTACAAGTTGCATGAAATTTGCAAGAAAATCCTCTGCACTGGGCTGCTACCTGGCGTAATTATAAACAACAGGAAGGCCTGGGAATCCGCAACCAGCTGCCAATATTCTATCAGATTAATTGGTACAAATATCACAGCTATTACAAGAGAGTCTCGGCACATCTATGTCTTTCCAGTTGTGACACCACAGCCCCAATGTGGCTCTTCCTCCTGGAGGCCCATCATGGCCCCCTGAACGCTTCCCAGACCCGGCTGTCTAAAGGTGCTGGAGGTGGGCTTCCCCAGGGCCCAGCTCTTTCTCCTGCTCTCCAGAGACCCAGGCTGGAGCCCAGCAGCATTCCTCCCACAGCCACAGGGCCTCTCAAGCGGTGCCCTCGGCTCTGCATTTCCAAAGCTATTGTCCTTCATTACATTTATTTAAAAGCTAATTTAGGATAAATGCCATTGTAAAGTCCTCTCTATGCAAACTTCATGTTAAATTGAAAACAATTACCATATTTTGGGATATCTGAATATAACCCATGCAAATGCCATGAGGCCCCAAGCCTTCACCCCAGACCAGAAGCAGCAGCTGTTAAGTTCTGGAATGAGAACCTCCTCCTGCCAGGAAGTGGCGGAATTCTTGGCACGTGGGAGCAAGCAATGAGCGACTGGGGGAATGGCACTCTGCACATGCCCCTTGCCCCATCATTCACGGCAAAATGAGAATTTGTAACCCACCCTTCTTGTCAGAAGGCATGTGAATTTAAAGTCCTTGCCCATTTAATGAAACAAGTAAAAAATCCAGCAGAAGATTACTTCGTAAAACCCTAAAACAATTACCATTTGTCTTAAAACTACCTTTCGGGTTCTATGGAAGTGAGCTGGACTCTCTGTTGTAGATAGAAAGATAAATACTTCCTTGAACTGAAATGAAATCTGAAAAAAGATACTTAAGTGGTCATTTTTAAAAATCCAACGTAATCTTTTACGATCTTTTGTTCTTGTTAAAGCAACTTCTTCTATTGCCGTAATTTAATCATAAGCCATTTGGCAAGAGTCCTAAGTAGATTGTATGCATAGAACTTGCTTCTGAATAAATATGCAAAGAATTGTGTGGTTAAAATGGAAAACTGTGAGCAATTAGCCCTAAGAGCTAAGGCAGATCAGTCTAGAGACTAAACATCAAACTACTAGAGGAAAGCAATTGTGAAGAAGTGCATTCTGTTGCACTGACACATTGCATTAAGCCACGATATGGCTGGTTTGCTTTTGGCTTCAGGTGATAAGGAAAAAATAGTCCGTGACTAATATATGTATCTAGCCTGAATACATGGCATGTTGTGTTACCTATTATAACCACCATTTAAACAGAGGTGCGAATGGGGACTGATGGAGAGCTCCATAGCCCTAATGCACAGAGTGGCTGTGGCCGATGGTGGGGCGAGTTTGCAAGGCAATGAAAGCTGCTGCTTCCATCCATTCCTATTTCAACTTTTGCCAACAGGTCATTACAAAAAGAAAAGCAACTCTTAAGCATGATAGAAAACATAACTATTTATTAATATGTTTGACCCTTCCTTAATTAATACAGGGTTTCTCTTCTACCACTTAAGATTTTTCAACTCCCAACGCCAGAAATTTGTATGGATGCTGTATGAATTGCGTGCGTGTCAGTTTTGCACAGCACAGATAATCAAACAGTTCAGCTCAGAAGCCACTCCTGGTGTTACTAGCTAAATTCACTTGCATCTGGACTGGGAAGAAGGCGGTTGGTTCCCTGAATATACTCAGCCAAGAGCAAAATATTCTCCACCACTTGCAATCAACTTTCTGGGATCTATCAGTCCTTCCCTACTTTATTTCCATTAAGAAAGGCAAAATTCACTGCTGACGTTGGTTCAGAGGAGGACAAGCCATTCAAAGAGCTGTTTTCTCCTAGGTTTGCAGGGACAAACATTTTCTAGCTCTACCCAAGGAAGCGTCTACCAAAGCGTAGGCAGAAGGGAGGTTGAGATGAGCTGATAAATCTTTGGGGATCAAAGAAGCCGATGGGTTCATTATGTAACAGCAGCAGCAGCAGTTTCCACCTTTGGTGGCTGCAATGGGACAAAGTTGGGAAACCAGGAAGGGCAGCCCCAGAAGCCAGCTGGGCTTCCTAAAGAACACACTCAGGCAGCTGTTAAGTGGGCCAGCCACAACAAACAAAAAACCACATTAGGTGGTAGCACCCTCTGCCTGCCTTTTCCGGCAACCAGCATCCCTAAACCACAATTCTGGACTTGCAAAAAATAATAATAATAATAATAAAAACCCCTCAGTATGAAAAATGAAGCCATCTCTAGGGCAGGCCTTTTCTCTAGGGGGGAAACCCCGCCTTTTTCTGTTTTCCCATGGAAGCCGGTTAAGGAAACTGACCCGCAGCCCCACTTGCTTCCCTGGGACCAGAAAGGGGCCGGGAGGGGCCTCGCATCCACGGTCCCATCTAGCCCCCCCACCCCCACCTCCACCCAGGGCGAAGGTGCCCTAAGGAAGCCCCTTCCCCCCCCCCTTGCAACCAGAGCAGGCGGGGGAGCCGGGGGTCCCCTTCTCTGCAGCCCCTCTGTCCCGGGGAGGGGGAGGGGGAGGGGGGGCTTCGGCCTCGGGGGAATCGGGGGCCCCCCCCCCCCACCACACACTGCCCAGCAGGCGCAACGGGGCCCCCGCCCCACTCCGCCCCCCTCCCCCCGCCCATCCGGGCCCGCCGCCTTCGCCATCCGGCCGCCTCGGGCTCCCGCGCGGCCCAAGACCGCCGCCTCCTCCTGGCCAAGGCCGGGCGGGGCCCTCAAGGGCATCGGGGCCGGGCCGGGCAGGGGCGCCAACGGCTCCGGCGGGAAAGGCCGCGGCGGCGCCCAGCAACCCTCCCAGCCCGCCCGCCCCGCTCGCTCGCTCACCCACCGGCCGCTCAGGGGGAGGCCGCCCCGCGCCCCGGCCTCATGCTCTGCCCGGCCCTCAGCGCCCGCCGCTCCCGCATCTCCGGTGGCCGGCCAGGCGGGCGGGCGGGCGGAGCGGGCGCCGGGCCTCGCCTGGACGGACCAGGAAGGGCGCGGCGGAGGCCTGGCGAAGGGCCGCTGCGGACGCCGCTCTCTCGATCTCTCTCTGCCGCAGGGAAGGCGGCCCGGCCCCGGAGCCTCGCACCAGCGCCCAGCCAGGCCCTCCCGCGCAGCAGGCCCGCCGCCGCCTCCTCCTACGCCTCCGCCGCCGCCGCCGCCGCCACCGCTCGGGCTCGGTGCGCGCTGGGCCGCGGCTCCACTGCAGGCCCCGGCTCCTCCCCGGCCGCTGCTCCGCCTCCCCCGGGCCGCGTCACCCGCCGCCCTCCCCGCCTTAAGGAGGCTCCCTCGGCGGCGGCGGCGGCGGCGGCATCTCGGCGGGGAGGCGGCCGGGCGCGCTCCGTCCAAAGGGGGCTCTGCCGCCGCCGCCGCCGCCAGGGGGGTCCCGGGCACGCGTGGCCCCCGGAGGCCCGAGGGAGGCTTGCGGGACCTCGGAGAGCCCGTCGAGGGGAGACCCCCGCGCATCTCCGCCCCGCCAGACTCCCATTGGTGCCGGCGGGCGGGCGGGGGGCTCCCGGGGGAGGGTCCCGGTCCTTCGCGCAGGCGGGGACAGGAGGCCCAGCGTCGCCCCCTCGAGGGCGGGGGAGGCCGGCCGTGGAGCCCTCGTGCGTGGCCGTGGTGTGTCTTTCCTGCCGCTCCTCCCGGGACCCGCATCCCCCGCCCGACGCTCACCTGCTCAGCCGCCGGAGGGGCCGGGGCTGGCTGGCCCGGGGGGACGTGCGCCCAGCAGCAGCAGCAGGAGGAGCAGCCGGGAGGCATCGGGCCGGAGGAGGACGGGGGCAGCTGCCGGTTCCCTCGCCCCCCGCCCTCCCGGGACCCTCCTCAGCCCCTGGGAAGCGGGCGAGCGGCCACCATGCCGGCGCCCCGACCCTCCCGCCGGTGGGGGAGGTTACGGCCGCCTCTTTGGCTTTCCCGGCGGCCGCAGTCCGTCCCCAGAGCCCGCGGAGTGCCGCCGTCGGCCAGGGGCACGTCCTCCCTCCCGCAGCGGGTCGCTCCGCTCCAGAGGCCGCGGCCACCTTAAGCGCCGTCGACGCCGTCCGGGGGCCGCGCGGGGGCGCCCCTCCCGGCCCCGTGTGGCGGGCAGCCCCGGAACGTGTGCCGCGGTCGCCGGCGGAGAGAGCCTTCCAGGCACCCTCGGGCGGTGGCCACGGCCGGGCCGGCGCACGGCTTGGGGCCGGCAGCGTAGGTGTCGGTGCGCGGCTGGCATCGGGGAAGAGAGCGGGCGCTTCGGAGCCTGCTGCGGCCTTTTGGGGAACGGCTTGCTTCCAGAGGCTGCTGTGCCCTGGCTGCCAAGAGCCGCTTCTACTCGGCGTATCCTCTGCAGATGCCGCCTTCAGCTGCCGCTGCGTTTGAATCCCATAAGGAGCTTTAAAGGCTCCTTGTTCGGCCTCTTCTACTTTCACTCAAAGCCCTTCACGCGAACCACCCGGCGGGTCTAAGCGGTGCAAGTCCACCTTACGGCCACGTGGTCTAGAGACGCCCAGCGGCGTTGTGGTCAGCTAGGATCGGGTCCTTCCTGCAGGCTTTGAGACGGTCTGCCCACGCCGGGGGAGGGGCTGCTGGGTGACCCTCCAAGGGATCCCCCGGAATTGTAAATCTAAGACATCAAACGCCCCCCCTCCCCCCGCGTAGGTAGTTTCTGTTGTAGGGGGCAGCCTCTGTACGCGGGAGTGGGAGTAGACTTGGGCATGGGGGAGCTCGGAGTTCAAATGCGGTCGGCGGGTGTCGGGAGTTACGTGGCGTGAGCCCCACTGCAGCCTTTCAAGGGATCCGTAGGGAGAGATGGAAGTTGAGGGAGCGAGATGGGAGAAGCTGTACGTGGCAGGTGCCGTTGAGGACAGATGGAGAGATCGCTCCCCCCGCCCCAAAACTCGACAGGCCCTGGAGGCCCCAGAGAGCCCCAAACCACCACAGTCCGCAAACGCCAAACATTTCCCGCAACCGACCCGACCGGGATCGCCAGGCCAGCCGCGCTCGCTCTTCCTGCCGCCCCAGGCAAAGCCCGCCCTTCCTCCTCCTCCTCCTCGGCCTTCTCTTCTATTTGGAGAAAGAGGCGCAGAGCCCCGCTCGCTCCCCCTAAGCCCCACCGAGCTGCCCAGGCCGCCCCAGGCCGAGGAGGGCAGCTTCCCTGCGCCAAAGCGGCTTCGGCCGGGCGCTGAGGCTGCCGCTCGCCCCGTGGCCAGAAGGGGGCGCCCGAGCCACTCGGCTCTCTCTAAACTGGGAGGTGGGATGGGGGGGGGGGGGGAGAGACTGAGGGTCTCTCGGCTCCCCTTGCAGGAGAGCAGCACCGGCTGGCAACCCTGGGCTGAAAACGCAGCTCTCCCGCTTCCAAACGACACCCCTGCGCCGCCCCCCACCCCCCCACCCGCAAAGCCCTGCCCGGGGGCCAGCCTGAGTCGCCTCTTGCGCTTCGGCCGGCCGGAACCTGAGCCCTAAGAGCCACCGGAGACCTGGGGGCGACTTGCCCGGCGCTGCCCCTGCCTCCCCCTCCCCCCACCTCGGGCGGGCAAGGCAGGGAGCAGCGGGGCAGGTGGGTGCCAGGGGCGGAGGGTCCGGCCTGTTCCTCCTGCTTGGAGGCCGGGCCCGGAAGGGGGCGAGGCGGTGCGCCTGCGGGTCTCCTGCTCCCGGATTCGGCAGTCGGCCTCATCCGGGTTGGTTTCAAAGCGGCTCGCCTTCCTGCCCCCCCCGTGTTTGCCTCTTTCCAAGCCTTATCTTTGACTTTGAGGCCGGTTCGATAAACAGCCCCGGAGTAACACGCCCCACCTGCCACAGCCGGCAGGACTACGCGGGACGGGGGTGGGGGTCAGCCGGGCCGCCTTTGGTCTGGAAGACTCCGCCCTCTCAGGGTGCTTTGCACCTATTTTCCTGCTATTAATGCGGTGCTGTTGTGTTTATTTTTAACACTGGGCATCTTTTAGATTACAGTTTTCTATGTCCGGTACTGAGATTTGTTTGATAGGTTCAGCCAATGAATGAATTAAACCTTTTGGCAGAACACTTCCCCCCCCCCTTTAATCAGGGATAAAAAACTTGAAAGGGAAGGGAAGTCTGGACAATTGTGGTGAAGACGCTGGGGACCGTGAGGGCTTCTGCGCAACCTCCACCATGCTCAGCCAGAAGATGTCGGGACCGGGCCAATTGCCCCCCTCCCTAGAAGAGCAGAGCTCATGCTGCCCATTGTCCTTCCACAAGGAGACGGCTTCCACTGACCTTCAGCCAGGTCTTTGTTTTCTTGAGCAGCACCACAAAATAAGGAGGCAAACACAGCATGTTTGCACACTTTTGTTGGAGGGAACCTTTAAGGGAGAGCCCTGGCCTCCATCCACGTTCCCACGGCTGTTTCGTGGCTGCCCTTCTTGAAGAGGTTCGGTCAACCGGATGCCGGACGTGAGGGAAGCATCGTTTTCCCACCAAAGCTAAACAGGTGGATTAAGAAGACAAACTACAGCTGAGAAGAGGGCATGTTCTCATGTTTACATCTTCTCACCCGGCACTTTGAGTCCCGACTGCATGTGGATGGGGCTAAGTGTCTAGTCCTTGGTGAGGACTGACCCTTGTTGTAGAAAAGACTGGCTTTCCTGGAAAAATATTTCAGGAAACAAAGAAACTGCAAATATTAATTCTGAATATCAATACTTTCTGTGTAAATAAATATAAAAGAACTACTTGGCAGAGATGGGAGGTCCAGATAATCTGTGTTTTTCGTCAAAGAAACCAGCTGCCAAAATGTATGATGTTTAAGAAGAAAAATCAGTGTTTCCAGCTGGACTTGTGAGCGTGTTCAGAGTCAGTTTTGTTTAAGCAAACAGCAGCAATGGACGGCCACAAGAGCCCCCCAGGACAGCAGAAGTACCTGGCCTCTGCCAACAAGGCTTGGGGACCAAACTTGGGCTGCAGTTCCTGGCAGCAGCTTCAGGGTGGATCCTCATGAATGTCTCTGGATGAAGACACCAACATTCAGGAAAAGTGCTGAACTAAAAAAAAAACAAAGCTTTAAAAAACTAGGAAGCAGCCCCTATTGGCTGACTGGCATTGTCCGAAGTCTGGGCGGGTGCCTGGCAGGCCCCAGTGTTGGTGACTGGCATAGTCCTGAGTCTGAGGTGTGCCGGGCAGGCCTTATTTTAAGATGAAGACCACGTCACTGTGCGAGATGCCAGAAAAGGTGGCCGCACCATGAAGGCAGCTTGGATCAAGCCAGGAGATCCCTGGTGCAATTAGGAATGGGGGCAGACTATATGTACTTTATAAATAAAAAATAAACACTAAGACCCACCGAGGAATCATCTTGTTTACTCAAACACATTTTTTTACTTCTACAGTAAATGGATACACAACCTGTTTCCCCCAAAAGGTCATCTACTTTTTTCTCTTGCCCCCCCCCTCACCCTCTCATGGTGCTATAGAATTTTTTTTTTTTAATCCATTTTTCTTAACAAACCCAAATTTATTTATTTATTTATTTATTTATTTAGTCACATTTCTATGCCGCCCAACTCCCAAGGGACTCTGGGTGGCTTACAACAAAGAATAAAACAATGCGAACAATCCCATAAAAATGTTAAAAAGAAAAACATTAAAACTTTAAAAACGTTAACACACATGCACTCCTATTCGTGGCTGGGTCTCGCAAGATCATCATAACGAGATCAACAGCCAGTTGCTCATCTATTCCTTAACAGGGAGAGATCTTTGGGAACCAGATCAGGCTCTCAAGTGCTGTAGAGTTTATGTCATCTGCGCTTGCTTAGCTGGAAAATTTCTAAATGTAAAAGTTCATAAACTGATAAAAGTTAGTCCCCTTTGAGTTATAGCTGACTGCAAACAATTTAAACAATTTATAAGTGAAGACAAATCCATGTTCCCACAATTCAACTGTATTAATAATTTAATTGAATTACTTCTGTTATTGGTGACCATGTTTTCTTGTAACTCTTGTATTTGTAGATTGACTTTATTATTGGCCATGGTTCCATTGAAATTAATTTCACTTTTATATTTCTTGAATTGTCCTGCGGCAAGTTGTCCCATTCCGTTCCCAAAGTGGGCAACCCAAGTCCACCTGGCTTGATTCTCTTCCCAGGCCTCCCTTACATGCTGGCAGATCCTGGATATAACAATTTTCCAGGGAAGTGGGAGAGAGGTTACCTCCAGT